CTGACAACTGCCTCTTGTTCCAATTATAGGTTTCTTATTAGCACGATCAAGTGTTCTGGGATTCCCATTCTTCTCAGAGTCAGTCACAGTTTGTTATGATTCACACAGTCAAACGCCTTTGCATAGTCAATGAAACACATATAAAAAGTCTTCTGGTATTCCCTGCTATCAGCCAAGATCCATCTGACATTAGCTACAATATCCCTAGTATCACGACCTCTTCTAAACCCAGCCTGGACTTCTGGCAGTTCTCTGCTGATGTGCTGTTCCAGTAGTTTTTGAGTAATCTTCAGTAGAATCTTGCTTGCATGTGAAATTAATGGAGTTGTTCTATAGTTTCCACACTCTGTTGGGTCACCCTTCTTTGGGATGGGAACAAATATCGATCTCTTCCAGTTAGTTGGCCAAGTGGTTGTTCTCCAGATTTTTTGACACAACTTGGTGAGCACATCCAGGGCAGCATCTGTTACCTGAAATAAGTCAATTGGTATACCATTTATTCCTAGGGCCTTATTTTTTGCTATTTCCTTCAAAGCAGCTTGAACTTCTTCCTTCATCACCATAGGCCCTTGCACATTTTATTTCATTAAATTCTTCTGTGTCTGCCAATTCATTTCGATAAAGTGACTCAGTATATTCTTTCCATCTTCTTTTAATACTTCCTGGATAATTTAATTTTCTTCCTAAAGCATCCTTGATTATAGCAGCTCAAGGTTTGAATTTCTTCTTCAGTTCCTTGAGCTTAAGAAATGCTGAGAGAGTTTGGCCCTTTTGATTTTCTGACTCCAAATCGTGGCACATCTGTGGAAAGAACCACTGGAGAAGCTCAATATCAACTGTGAAAACTAGGCCAGAAGCTGATTGTGGAACAGACCACCAACTACTCATATGCAAGTTCACGCTGAAACTGAGAAAAATTAAACCAAGTCCACGGGAACCAAAATATGACTTTGAGTCTATCCCCCCAGAATATCAGGACCATCTCAGGAACAGGTTTGAGGCCTTGAACACTAATGAGCGAAGACCAGACGAGTTGTGGGACGATATCAAGGGTATCATCCAGGAAGAGTGCAAACGGTCTTTGAAAAGACAGAAGAGGAAGTGAAGACCAAAATGGATGTCAGAAGAGACTCTGAAAATTGCACTGGAGTACAGAGAAGCCAAAGCACAAGGAAGAACTCAAGATACCAAACAGTTGAATAGAAGATTTCAAAAGGCAGCACAAGATGACAAAGTAAAGTAAAAAGTAAAATTCATATTATAGTGAAATATAATTTCACATCCACTAACATAGTTAAAAGTAGAGCAATTCATGAAGTTATATAGAAGCTGAAACTGACACATTCTTAATGTGAATGTAAAAGGGCACACACAACTACTTTGGTAAACTTGCAGTTTCTTAAAACCTAAACTACCTTGTAGTTCCAGTTCCATTTTTAGATATTGATAGCAATTAAAATATATACTACTAATAAAGTTTGCACAAGAATGCTCACTGTTGATATTTAATGGCCACAGGCTGGAAATCCAAGTGTTTTCAGTAGTATAAGAGATATATAAAAAGCAATACAAACCAAAATTCTAGCAAGTTTGTGGAGAAAAGGGAATCCTTATCCACTGTTGGTGGGAGTGAAAATGGTGCAACCATTATGTAAGGCAGTATGGTGTTTTCTCAAAAAGTTAGAAATATCCTTTGACCCACCCATTCAACTACTGCGAATATACCATAAAGAAACTAGAACTGCCATCCAAGCAGATATATGCACACCCATGTTTATTGTGGCTTTGTTCACAATAGCAAAGAGTTGGAAACAACGCAAGTACCCATCAATAAACCAATGGCTATAGAAGCTCTGTATATTCACACAATGGCATACTATGCTGCAATAATACTATACTGAAAAACAAAGAACTCATGAAATATTATACAAAATGGGTGACCCTGGAGGGCATTATGCTGAGTGAAATATCTCTGTCCCAAAGTACAAATACTACATAGTGTCACTGTTGTAAAGCAGGACTGACATCAGAGTTGTGGGGGAACTTAGAGGGGATAAATACTGTATACTGCATTGAAGTAGATGTGGGAGAGAACTGTTTAGGAGGAATATATGATTAGGTATTACTGTCATGACAAGAGTCCAGGATGAAAGCTGCATAGTGGAGTAGACTGAGGGACAGGGGGCTTTGCATAACAATGAAGGAATTTTTTTTTCTTTCTCACTTTTCAAAGAGAAAAGGTAACTGAGGCAGGGATAGGCAGGGAGGAAAGTGTGCAACAATGAATGGAAATCCAAAGTCTCTGTAAACTCTCATTAACATTTTAAAAAAGCAATAAACTGACAGCAGTATGAATGAACTTCAGAAATACTTTGTTGAATAGGAAAAGACATGGAACTGAACAGAGGATTTCAAAGGGCAGCTCGGGAAAACAAAAGTATTATAATGAAATGTGCAAAGAGCTAGAGTCAAAAAACCAAAAGGAATGAACTTGCTTGTCGTTTCTTAAGCTGAAGTAACTAAAGAACAGATTCAAGCTTCTGGTTCTAATACTTAAAAAATGCTATGAGCAGAATATTAAATGATCCAGAAACAATCAAAAGAAGATGGAAAACTGTACTAAAAAGAATTGGCTGACAGAAGAATTTCATGAAACAATATGTGACCAAAAGACTGTGGTGATGAAAGAGGAAATTCAAGCTGCTCTGAAGAAATTGATAAAAAACAAGGCCCCAAGAACTAATGGAATCCCAATTGACATTTCAGCAAGCAGATGCTGTCTTGCATGTGCTCACATAATTGTGCCAAGAAGTCTGGAGGACAAGTACTTGGCCAGATATTGGAAGAGATCCGTATTTATTCCCATCCCAAAATATCATGATCTGACAGAATATGGAAATTATCAAACACTGTCACTAATATCACATGCAAGTAAAGTCTTGCCAAAGATTACTAAAAAACAACTGGAACAGTATATACATCATCAGAGAACTAACAGAAATACAAACTTGGTTTACAAGAGGCTGTGGCACTGGAAACATCATTTTCACTGTTAGATAGATCTGACTGAAAGCAGAAAGTACCAGAAGAATGTCTGTATACATTTCATTGACAACTCAAAGGTATTTGACTGTGTAGATCACAGCAAATTTTGGCCAACCTAGAAAAGAATGGGAATACCAGAACATTCGATTATGCTTGTGCAAGACCTATACTTGGACCAGGAGGCTTTTGTCAGGACAGAGCAAGGAAGCAGTGCATGGTTCAAAATTAGGAAAGGAGTGCGTCAGGGATGTATCCTGTCCCCATAACTCTTCAGTCTATATGTAGAACAGGTAATTTTGGAGGCTGATCTTTATGAGGAGGATTTTGGCATCAGAATTGAAAGAAAACTCGTCAACAATTTGAGTTCTGCAGATAACACAACATTGCTCACTGAAACTAAAGAGGACCTGAAACATCTGCTGCAGAAAGTCAAGAATTGCAGTCTTCTACATGGATTGAATCTTAACATCAAGAAAACAACAATTTTCACTGGGTCACTTGACAGTACTGTGATAATTGGAGAAGAGATTGACATTGTCAACAGTTTCAGCCTGCTCGGGTCCAGAATTAATACTCTTGGAACTAGTAGCCAAGAAATCAAAAGACCAATTGGATTAGGAAAGTCTGCCATCATGGACCTCTCCAGAGTAGTGAAGTGCAAAGTCAGTCTAGAAACTAAGTTAATTATTTAACTCTGCTTCAGAAAGCTGGACAATGAATAAACATGACAGAAGAATTGATGCCTTTGAGATGTGATGTTGTACAAATGTGTTGGACATACTATGACCTGCCAAGAACAAACAGGTCTGTTCTGGAGAAGGTGAAATGAATCTCCTCCATGCGAGCAAGGATTTTAAAACTCTGTCTCACATATTTTGAGCATATTGCCCGGAGTCCTTGGAGAAGGAAAGTATGTTTGGAAAGGTGGAGAGACAATGCAGGAGAGGAAGACCTTGGTTGAAATGGATTGACCGAGTGCTCAGGGCAATAGATGCAGGTGTATCAGAGACAGTGAGATTGGCTTAGGATAAGACAGGGTTCAGAGCTATTGTGCATAGTGTTGCTGTGAGACATGGGTGACTCGATGGCACACAACAGCAACACTACCACAGAACTAATCCTTAGACGTCAGAAAGTGATTATCTCTGAGAGAATAATGATAGAAATATTCTATAGGCTGTTTTTTGCAATAATCTTGGGATATGCACTGTTGCCAAAATGAAAGAATTTATGTCTGAAGAACTGTGTTCTATTTTATTTAAATTATAACTCAATTAAAACATTTCAAAAGAGATAGCTATCATCAGAGATTTTGTATCTCCATCTTTGTTTTTTCTTATGATTGTTTTTAACCATTGGGGAATAAAAGATTCAGGAGATATGGGAGAAGGGCTACTACACCACAGGTTGTGAATGCTTGAAGCATACTCTTCTTGAATGTTAGTGGGTCAAACATAGAGAGACTTTTCTGATCATTCATCTGTTGTTGTTGGATACCATCTAGTTGGAACCAGCTCATAGCTGGCTCTCCTGTGGATTTTCAGAGACCGTTAATTGCATGGAAAGAAGTTGTCCAACTGATTGGTTCAAACTGTGTACTTTTGCCTTGACAGCACAACTCCTTACCACTGAGCTACCAGAATTCCCTAATGCTTCATCTGGTAGCCTCTTAACTGTGTGTGTTTTTATAGTGAGTGTCAGTTATTTTAAGTGTATAAGTGATTTTTCTATAGTTGAAGTCTTAAAAGATTCTTCCGATGTGATTTGTTGCCTCTGAAAACCTGCTGAAGGTTCAACTACAAGTAGATGGCAACTCTATGGCACACAGTAACAACAGTCTTAAAAAAAGATACCTAATAGAATATTGTCATTTACAAATTTAACACAAATTTTAACATTTGAAATTAGATCCTCATATCTTTTAATAATTTAAATACTATCTTTTTTTAAATTAGGAACCCATGAAATCCAGAGCACCACAGCTACATTTGGAATACAGATTCTACAGACAATTAGGAACTGAAGGTATGATCTTATATTTAATTTTAAAATTTGTAATAAAATGACAAGACTTCTGTGGTATTAAGGGTTTATTGTTCAAAATGGCTTCCCTAGTTATTTTCAGATGTTGTCATGTGGATGGTCAGAAATATTGTGAAGAGGGCATGTTAGTAAAGCCACGTGGGAGTTAGCTATTTTCACCAGTCCAAAGAGGATTGGCTAGTTTTGCCATTAAACTGAATGGCTCCAGCAGCGGAATTAGAGAACCTTATTACCAGAAAAGAAGAAAGAAGAGAATGCAATTCATGCTTTGAGGCCAGAGATTCTTGAACCAGTGAGGCCAGAGCCTGTGGAAGCAGCAGCCGTAACAACCATAGTGGAGAAACATACCTGATGTGAGAAAAAACAATTCTTGGAACTGCTATGCTATTGAACAAGAGCTAAAAGCCTTTTCACCAAGTTTGTTGGAGAGCTTCAGAGGAGAGCCATAATTGGAAAGACTGAGGCTTTGTTACACTGGCCTAAAGCCATGAGACTTAAGGTTGAGCCACCTGGAAGTATCTTTTGGAAGTTGTACTTACTGTATTCTGCTGTAATCTGAATTGTAGCCTTTTGACTTTCCATATATGTTTCTGTGTGATCTGTGAGCCATCACATTGGATTTTGGACTCAGCAAAGCATTAAGATTGTTGTTGGGATGAGTTGGAATGAGGTGTGGAAGCTTGGGGCATGTTTGGACTCATGGGAATTGGTTTTGTGTTGTTTATGTAATTGATAGGAACAGTTTCCCTTTGTGAAGTTGGTAAAGATCAGATATGGCCATCCCCAGGTGGCCCTTGCTCTTTTTACAACTTCATTAGTTCTGAGGAATTAGATTTTAAATTTGTTAAGAATCACTTTTTAAGGCTTTACTTTCTAGAGTCTTCTTTTCTAACTTTTTGGAACTTTTTACCGTGTTAGTGCTAATGTGAGTAAAAATATTTAAAAAAATCAAGATGATAATATTTCCATATTTTAACCTCTTTTGATAAAATTATAGCTGCTAAAATAACCTATATATTGTGGTAGATTGCATATTGTCCCCTAAAAGATAGCTATATCAGAATATCTGAAACCTAAAACTGTTAACTTCTGACAAAGACTATACAGATAAAATTAAGTAAAGGGTTTTCATGTAGAGAAACAATTATCCAAGTAGTCTTTAAATACAGTCACAAGCATCTGTACAAAAGAGAAGCAGAGGAAGGTTTTACCTGCACAGAATAGAAGGCAGTATAATCATGGAGGCAGAAGGTGATTCAGCCATCAACCAAGGAATGTTGGTAGTAGTCACAAAAAACTGAATGAGCCAAGGAATATATTTTCACGCTCTCTTGGCAAAATGCACAGTGAGGTGCACTGCAAACCTAAAGGCAGCCAGTTTGAGTCCTCTAGTCACTCCAAGCAGAAAGATGGGCATTGCTCTCCTGTGTGATTTACAGCCTCTCTGAAAATACTTTGGAAGGTTAGCTGTGAGTATGTTCCAACTTGCTGACAATGAGTTGATAATACCGCTAAAGATTATTCAAAACCAGCTAGAACAGTATATAGATAAAGAAGTGCCAGAAATTCAGGCAGGATTTAGAAGAGATCATGGCACCAGGGATTGTTGTTGTTGTTGTTGTTGTTATGTGCCATCGAGTTGTTTGCGACTCATAGCGACCCTATGTACAAGAACTCTAAACGCTCCTCTATCCTGTGCCAACCTAGCCACTCAAATGCAGTTATTCCCACCGCTCCAGTCACAGAATCGATCCACCTCATCGAAGGTCTTCTTCTCCTTTGCTGGCACCGGGGATAACATTACTGTTTTAAATTGATCCTGGCTGAAAGAAGAATGTCTTATTTTTACCTTATTACCATGCAAAGGTTTTTGACTGTTTGGATTATAACAAGTTGTGGCTGACACTGAGAAGAATTGGAATCCAAGAGCAATTAATTATGATCATGCAGAACCTAAACCTGGACCAGGAGACTGTCGTGCAAATCGAGGAAGGGAGCACTACATGGTTTGAAATTGAGAAGGGAGTGAATCAGAGTTTTATTTTCTCTCCATACGTATTCAATCTGTATACTGAGCAAATGGTCCAAGAGGCTGGACTCTGAAGAGTAGCATCAGGATTTGAGGAAGATTCTGCAACAACCAGCTTTATGCAAATGACCTTGCTTGCTGAAAATGAGGAGGACTTAAAGTACTTGTTACAGAAGATCAAGGAATTCTGCCTTTGGTATGGATTGTATCTCAGTGTCAGAAAAACTAAGATTCTTATCACTGGACTGATGGGCAGCATCATTATTGATGGAGAGGAGATTGAAACTGTCAACAGCTTCATCTTGCTTGGATCCACATTTAACACACTTGGTACCAGCAGTCAGAAATTAAGGAGACACATTGCACTGGGAAAATCTGCCGTTATGGATCTTTCCAAATTATTGAGGAGAGTTTGAGGACTAAGGTGCATCTGATTCAAACCATAGTCTTTCCAATTACTTGCTATGCATCTGAGAGCTGGACAATGAATAAAGATGACAGGAAAAGAATTGACATCTTTGGGCTCAACACTGGGAGAGGAGCACTGAGCATCCCACGGACGGTGGAGAGAACAAGCACATATGTCTTGGGGAGGGTGCAGCTGGAGGCAAGAGTGATAAGGCTTTGCCTTCCATACTTTGGACATATTGTTGGGGGTTGCTATTCCTTTGTTAAGGACATGATGCTGAGAAGGGTTGAGGGTCAGCAAAGTAGAAGATGCTCAACCAGGTAGATTGTCAACAGTTATTGCTGCATTGGGCTCTTGTGTATCAGGAAGTATGAGGATGGCACAGGAATGGGGTTCAAATCTTTTGTTCATAGGGTCACTATGACTCGTATTTGACTTATGGCACTTAACAACAACAGAGATTGATGACCCTGTGAAACCTTGATTTGACCCCAGAACAAAGGAATACAGGCTCCAGGTTTCTGATTTTCAGGACTATGAGAGTGAGAAAGGAGTAGTTCTAATGTGAGGGTGACTGAGTCTGACTTCAACCCGCTTCATAAAGGGGAACTGGCCCCATCAATAATACCCATAGTACCAAAATAACTACAAGTTACACCTGCCACCCCCATGCTCTTGCACTTTTTTCCACCAATCATTGAGTCCAGTTTTCATTGCAAGACTCACAGACTTTACTCACAGGTGTGGGGTTTGTTAGGGAAATAAGTTGGAGAGTAGAAGAGGCAATAAATATCACACAATGCAAGTCTTTAGTCCAACAGTCCTAGTTCCTCAGTTATTGAAAACTAGCTTCTCAGTGACAAATGATAGTGTAGGCATAGTTCAGCAGCACAAATGCAAGAAGCCTCTAGTTTCCTCAATCATCTAGTAAACTATTTTAGAAGAGTTGTAAGTCAGCTTTCCCTCCAGTCATCCAGCAAGTAAAACCTTTAACAGTGGCTTTTATCTCTAGGGTTTCTCTGGTTACACCTTGCCACAGTCTCTTCACAGCTACGCCATAGTCTCTTCAAACTCCACTATTTTTGTTATATTAGTCCCACAGCTGTTGATGATTTGCAAGACCATGGGTTTGCATTTAAGGTAGCTGGAGACCAGGAGGGGCTAATGCAATGGCTGCCACAGACAGAATGCATATACTGAGTCATTGTTTCCAAAGGAATTGGCAGACACAGAAGAATTTAATGAAATAACATTTGAGCAAGAGCCTATGGTGATAAGGAAGAAGTTCAAGCTGCTTTGAAAGAAATAGCAAAAAATAAGGCCCCAGGAATAGATGGTATACCAATTGACGTATTTCAGGTAACAGGTGCTGCCCTGGATGTGCTCACCAAGTTGTGCCAAGAAATCTGGAGAACAACCTCTTGGCCAACTGACTGGAAGAGATCTATATTTATTCCCATTCCAAAGAAGGGTCCCAACAGAGTGTGAATACTACAGAACAGTGTCATTGATTTCATATGCAAGCAAGATTCTACTGAAGATTATCCAAAAACAACTGGAGCAGCACATCAGCAGAGAACTGCCAGAAGTCCAGGCTGGGTTTAGAAGGGGTCGTGGTACTAGGGATATTGTAGCTGATGTTAGATGGATCTTAG